TGATGATAATCCTGATGGTAATCCTAATGGTAGTCCTGATGATAATCCTGATGGTAATCCTAATTGTAGTCCTGATGATAATCCTGGTGATGATAAACTATGTGTTTGTGGCTCTTGTTCCATTCTATTTAAATGTTGTTCTTCAGCTTGTAATAAACCTCTATATGTTGATAATTCAAAACGAAGTGAAACATTATTTTCTAAAATAGCATCAATAAGATCTTTTTTATCAGCAGTTTGTTCTCGAATTAATGCAAGTTCTCTATCAATAGATTCTTTTTCACGTAATCGTTCATTTTGAATTTTTTCTAAATCATCAATAATAGCATCAAATTGTATTTGTAAATCTCTATTTTCTTTTTGTAATGATATTAATTCATTTTGACCATCACGTAATGATGATGTTAAATGTGCTGTATCCATTACGTCAATAGTACTTTCATTTGCTAATAAACGTTTACGTTCATTTTCTGTTTCAATTTCTTCACGTACTTGTTCAGTTTTTATTTTATAATATGCTTCTAATTCATTTGTTTGTGATTGAGAAAGTACTTCAAAATCTCGTCGTATATCAGATATAGCATGAGCTAATTCTGCACGATAAAATGCTGATAGATCAAGGGTAGGTGTATCTGTATAAATAAATAAAAATAATATATATATATGTATTTTTAAATAATGAAATTCTTACTAAGAGAAAGTAATTCTTCTCGTTGTTCTTTATAAACAGCATTTTGAAAAGCAAGATCTTCGTTTAATGTTTGTAATTCATTTTCAATCATAAGACGTTCTAATTGTTCATTATCTAATTCATTTTTTAATCCATCTACTTCTTTAACAAGACCATCCATAAGATTTTTTAGATTTTCTAAATCATTAAAAGTTTTATCATATAGATTTTTTAGTTGTTCAAAACCAATATATGATGCTTCTAATTCTTGTTTAAGTATATTTAATTTATGTGAATCAAAACCACTATCAAGTGATGCTATTTGTTCTTGAATATGCCATATATCATAATCATATCGTTTTAATTGAAGTTCTTGAAGAGCTTGATCACGTATAGTTTTATCAAGTTCAATACGAAGTGCTTGTAATTGTGGACCATAAGTAACTTGTAATTGACTCATATCACCACCCCATTCTTGTTTTAAATCATGTAAATCAGCAGATAATCGTTGATTATAATCTTCTAAATATTGAACACGATCCAAATAAACAGCAAATTTAGCATTTAAATCTTGTAATTCACGTTGTTCATCTTCACGTTGTTTAGCTATAGCTGTTATAGCAGCACTAGTTGACGAAGAAGTATTTGCTATATTACCATCACCTACTGGTCGTAAACCACGTTCGACTAATGTTCGACGAATTAATGTTGAATCATCAGATGGTTGTGGTTTTGGAGATAAATTTCCATATGGATTATTATTTCGAATTTCATTTCTTTCAGTACCACCCCTATTACTACGATTAATGATATTTTCTCGATTTGTACTGCTCATTATTTAAATTATTTTTGGTACCGACTAACTCTAATTTATACAAATGTAATATTATACTTTTACAAGAAACAGACAACTAATATTGTTGATGATAATGTAGTTTTTATACAGGCAATTATGTGTGAAGAAAAAAAATAAAGAAAAAAAAAAATCAATGATAATATGTCTCTTGAATATATATATATATTTTTTTTTGCGGCGTACGAGTACGTATACCGCTGCTCTTGTATAGCAGTTATTATTGTAATCAGCTGAAATATCTTCCTTCTTCTTATTCTCTATCTATCTTTTTTCTTTTTCTGCCTGACTGTATATAGTGATAGTCTTGTCCAATCGATAAGTTACGACTTTGAAATGCAAACGAGCGTGCAAGAACACTTACACAGTGATATGGTTTATTTTTTTTTTTTTATCATATATCTTTTTCTCCCGACACATACACAGTCATGCATCAATGATCTTTTCCTTTCATTATATCCATTTTTTTTTATGCTAGATACTTCATTAAAAAGATAGAAAAAAAAACTTGACTATTCTCATATCGAATACAAAGACCTTATTCATTCTGATTTTATCACTTGAAAAGTGATTAATGTAATAGTGGTAGATGAGGCAAATGTTTATTAACAGTCTTGTTCAAGAAAAAAAAAAAAAAAAACTAAAGTACGAGAGTTACAGAAATGTTTTAATTAACTTTAATACGTATTCAATTAGTTATTAAAGTTTAGTTATCTATTACAAGGTTGACAAAAAATAAATAAAGATGTCTTGATGTAAAGGTAGCACTGATTGATTATTTTAGATATCAACTTACTATCACTAGTTAACGGTACGATTAAAGGTCAGACTGCATCTATATTTTGATAGAAAGAAAAATAATAAATGCTATGAAAATCCACTTACTATCTTAAATGTCATTTGTATTATTCGATGTTTATTTATTTTTTATTGTTAATTAAAACAATCATTCATGGAAATATGACATTTATTATGGTAATATTCATATTTGTAATGTATGGCCTAGAATAAAATGGCTACTTTTGTTCTTTGCTTTTGAGATACTATCCAAAGAACCCAAAGAGTTGGATTCAATAGAGAATTCATTGTTCTATAAAACTGTAGGCTTTGTTTTTTTCAAAACAAAAATTTTCTTGTCAGCACAAAAATTAAAAGATCAACATCTATTTAATCGTCCAACTGCGACGATAGAAAAAACAACGAAAAAAAAGATGAAAATTTTTGAATAACAATTTCACTGAAATTTCAAATATGTCGCAATATTTTCCGTAAAATTCTCCAACTTTTGATGTATATTTCAGAATTTTAGAAGAAATATTTACAAGAAAAATTTTTGAAGTAAAAACTATGACAATATGGAAAAAAATCTTTTTTGGGCAGATTTTTGTCATTGAACTTTTTTTTGTTTGAAATAATCTAAGTGTTCACTGTTTAACTTAACAGTCACACGATTTTGTTTAGATTTGAATACGACATTCGATGGCATGAAAATAAACGTTTCATAGAACAAGTCTAGCTTTGGAAAAAAATGATTTTTCGAAATGCATCCAAAAATACCATCAGGTATTATTTCCAAGTTTTTTTTCTCTGAACGATAGAACCAGAAATTTTGAAAAGGTTGTGAAAGCATAGAGCACAAAATTCTTTATCTATTGATGTTAAACACTTTATTTTTAACATCGAACTTAATGAGCATAGGCTTATAAAAATCGATCAATGTTTGCAAAAAAAAGCAGAAGATCGCAGTTGGATGATTAAGTAGGTGTTAACCTTTTAATTTTTGCACCGACAAGAAAATTTTGTTTGAAAAACAAAAGCAAACAGTTTTGTAAAGTAATAAATTCTCTATCGAATGAATTTACAATCAACTATTTAGGCATGCCATGTCAGCATTTATCTAGATATTCTTTAAATTATGAATATGATTTATTTAAGAATTTCGAATACGGAAATTTGATCATAAAGTTTATTAGTTATTGTTCTGTACATTTAATCTAATTTGATATAGAAAACTCTATGAAGGTTAAATAGTAATTCATAAATTTCTACAAACAAAGAATCAGCTATTGTAATCTTGTTTCTATCTATGGATAAAAATCAGTACAAAGTAACTGTAATTTAGATGATTATCATATTTAACGTCTGACCAATTGTTGATCTTAATTGTTCTACTATAATTTTCTCTTTAGTTCTTACATCACTAAACAACTAATCTATAACATTCATGATAACAGTCATTTAGAGTCGAAAATAATAGAATGAATTAGAGTGAAAACAAACAAATATAAATTGGAATTATGTGTACTTTGTAAAAATGTGGTTTCAGTATTAATATGATGTATGGTTCATCTATTATCGAAATACTCTGTGTTCTATATTCTTCTTGAAGAAATGTCTACTCAAAGATTAACTAATCTCTATATTGAATTTTTCATATATTGAACTTAATTCAAATGAAAATATGAGTTTTATGTTTAGTATTAGTTGTCACATGTTCGTATTGGAAGAAAAAAAAATCATTAATTGAATAAGAAAATAGTGTTAACTTAAGGGTACCCTCCCTTCCTCCTTTCCAGAATTTCTTGAGAACGGCTCATCAAAACAATTTGAAATTTTCAGGACAGATAGATCTTGATGAGTATAGTGGAAGTTGACATAGACTCAAAATTTCCTGATGTTGTCTTCTATGAGATAATAGGGTCACAATGGCGAAAAACGACCCTAGTTGACGACCCCGTTTCTCTAAAACGGTATTTTCGATTGAGCTGAAAATTGTTTTACAGATACTAGACACTGTTCGATGTGGTTTCATTTTTTGGTTTCATTTTATCTTTTGTTGTTTCAACAAAAAAAGTCAAAATGTCAAGCGAACCCTAAAAGACGCTTGTTTCTATTATTAGAACAAATGTTGTGAAAGCTGCCAAAAATCACAAGAGCAATATTTCTTGAAAAGAAAAAAAAAATACGCACCCCAAATAGTGAGTAGAATATGTGAAAAAAGTTTTAGTTGGATCCATCTTACCATATCAGAGAAATGGAGATGAAACAGTACTTTTTTTGCTAAAAATTTGATTTTGAGAAAAAAGCAAAAAAAAAAATATAAAATTTTAGCTATTTTCACTATATAAATTTAATTTCTCCTGGAATTTTTTAATCTTTAAGGACAATTGTTGAGTTCCAAAATATAGTCAGTAGATAGACACTACTTGAAACTATACAATGGACACAAAAAACTAAAAATGAAAAAAAAAAACAAAAATTTTGGGGAAGGAAAGAGGGACGTACTCTTATAAAGTAAAACAAAATATCAGCACTAGAATTGATCATGAAAAAAAAATCAAGCAGAATTGAAACAACAAATTATTTGTTAATCAATCTTTGTTTGCGATCACAATTGTCAAGTATCATTATATCGAGCTATAAATTATCAAGAAAAAGAAAATAATGTTTTATGATTACTAATGCAAAGAAGAACGTCAAATCAAGGTAAAGTTATTGATCAAATTTCTGTTTTGAAAAATGATCTTAATTACACATTGAATATATTATTTATTTTATATCGCCATTTATTGACATGTGACATGTATTATTTATAAATAGAAATCTATCTATATCTTAATATTATCAAACAATACTTGATCAACATAACATTTTGTTTTGTTTAAATTATTATTTTATTTCTGTTTATTCTATAACACAAATATTGTCAATAGTCAATATGTATTTTATTTCTATCATACATATAAGTTATTCAATGTGACGTTTTGTTTATGTCACAATTATTTCGATCACCCCACGTGGATTGTATATTGATAGCTACATATCGAATAGCGATGATTACCTGTCTTTCATATTCATTTTTTTTTTATACAAAAGGTATATTGTGTGTATCTGTGTGCATCAAATTGGCGTATTAAGTGCAAAACAAAAATGCCTGCATGTAAGTTTAACAAACAAAATCCAGAATTTAATTGTGTTCTAAATGCGATAGCAGATGCTAAAAGTTTCTCTATCAAATAAAAATTATCTAAATTTGAATATTATTGTCTGATGTTTTTACTATAAACAGTGCTCGATAGGCTTTGATCACAAGCACCAATCGGAAATCGATCTGTGTTAATGCATTGAATTAAAAATAGAAACACTGACTTTTGTTTTTATTCATCATTATTTTGAAGTGTTAATATCAATCCTTTTATCGATAATGAAAACTTCACATGGTTTTACTATGTCACAGATAGGAGATTTTAATTCGTTGTGATCTAGAGACGTAGTGATGTTTATATTATGAGAAACGATCTTCGCATAGATTTTCGTTTTATTAATGACTGTAATCATGAGATTTTCAGAAAATACTTGGTTGGAGCAAAGAATTCACTGAAGAAAATTTCACAGCTAACGATTGAAAATTGTCGAAATAATAGATTACTTTTTGACGAATCTCATCAACTCTCATGCTGAGACTATCCTAAGATAATTTCATAAATCAGATGGATTATAATAATTTGACATGTAATTTTCATCGGTAATGAAGACAACAATGAGTTCTGTCATGATGAGTCGAACACTGTGAGATTCACTGCTAATGTTGAAATATTCTCATCTAAAGAAAAAAAAATCTATGTTAACTTTCTAGCTTGTACGCATGAAGGCTGATCAGGATCGTTGTGTTCTTTTTTGTATCTTAAAATATGAGACCGAAGGATTCACGTTCAGATTATTTTGATCTTGTAGTGAGACTTTCGATAACTACTGTGTATATTTTTTTTAAATTTTATATTCTTTTTTAGTAATTAAATGTTGTCAATCATGTTTACATAAAATCAGTTCAAAAACTTCTCGTGTATCTATCATGTTTGTTCTTACGATTGTAACGGCTACTTTTGAAATAATTTATGGTATTCGTGCACGTTCGAATTCTTTAATAGCTGATGGATTATATTCATTTGCTGAAGGTATTTGTTTAATTGGTGTTATATTAGTTCTTCATTATTCACGTCAGGTAAAGCATCATGAAAAAAAGAATACATTTGGTTATGAACGATTAGAATTATTATTTGGTCTTTCACAAGAAGTATTTCTTTTATCAATATCATTGGGTGTTATAGTTGATGCTATTAATCATTTAGTTAATCCTATTCATATACATGATCCAAAATTATTAATTTATCTTGGTGCAGGTGGTATAGTTATTGGCATACTTGGAGTAATTATGTTTGGGGGTTATCATCATGATCATAATATCGAAAAAGAAATACATGACAAGAAAAAAGGAGAATTTTTATCAATGACAAAAAAAAAAAAAGATAAAACTCCTAAGGTATCCCGTCAAAATACAATTACTGAATCTTCAGTAATGATTGAACAACAAAATGGTCAAACAAACGATCAATTAAACCAAACTAGTAGTACTGAAATGAAACCGCTAAATGCTCCGCAAGAAATATCGATTCTCGATACTTTCACCTATGAAAATATTGATCTAGCAGATTCAAGAATATATGCTACTTTACATGCTCTATGTTTACATTCATGGGAAAGTTTTATTTTTTTTTTCGATAAAAAGAAAAACAAATATTTATTTTTATTTGATTTTTTTTTTATTATTTAGGTTGTTTTATTTGAATCTGTCATTGTTGTTATGTCTGGTTTGACGATTCACTTTGTTCCACATATAGATCCAGTTACAGGAAAAGAAATCAATACTTGGTTAAAATATATTGATCCAATATTAACACTTATAATGGTTGTTGTTATTGCTGTTCATGCAATTCCTGTTATATTTTCTATAAGTACAGTATTAATTGAAAATGTTCCACGTGGTATTAATACCCAAGATGTAATGAAAGAAATTGTTGCAGCTGTACCAGCAATTAAAAGTATACATAGTTTTCATATTTGGAGGGAAGAAAAAAAATAGAACTATTTTTTTAAGAAAACAACAAATTTGTTTTTAATTATTTTAGAGCAACACCTAAAGAAATTTATGCAACATTACATCTTATATGTGATGAAGATGTTATGTTAAGTACATGTACAAATAGATATGGTAAAGAAATACAAAATATTCTCAAAAGTTACTGTGTTCGATATTTTACATTACAATTTGAATATGTACAACCACGTCAATCAGAAGAATTAGTTGTTTATAATTGTGCTTATGAACTTTTAAGAAAACGTCGTGGTCATACACTTGATGATCCTATGACAAAATCAGCCAAAAATGCAATAACTCATATTTAATAGTGATTAGAAATATTGAACTTTTTGAAATATATAAGAACAAGAATCGATAAAGAAACATATATATAATTCTACTAAGGTTTTTTTTCTTTTATTGTAAAGAGTTAGAAATCATATTTTCATATGATGAGAATCATTTAAAATAAAACATAAAAATACCTCTACATAGATAATATCAAGTTTGAATTAAACATATCCAGTTTAATTGCTTATTAATGCATACAAAGAATTGATTAAAAAAAACACGTCGAAATATGTAACGGTTCATATGAAACAGAAATTCATTTAAAATAAATCTCATCTCATACAATAATCATCACACAAAACTTATATCATGTAGAATATGTTCGATCAAATGGAAGAAAGCTCTATGACGATAAGCTAAACAAATTCAACGAATACTGTCTATGGTAATTTGATCAAACCGATGTAACTCCCCCCGTTATCCACAAAAGAAGATCTCGGGGTCTTCTATTATGTCTCGTTCATTTCCATAATTTTTAATTACAAGGATTTTTCAGAAAACCAAAACACTTTTGAGGATTTTAAAAGTCTAGAAATAATGCCGACCTGAACTTTTAAGATTTTCAGCTCAAAACCCTGAAAATTAGGCATATATTGTAATTAACGTTTCAATTTTTGGAGTAATCAATTAATTAATTAAAGAGGGGAGTTGTTACCTCCGGCGCATTGTTCTTTCAAGGGAGTCTTCTATTACCGAGGAAATTAGATGAAACCATATCTGTGAACATTTAGCTAGTTTCTTGTTCGAAGAGAGAACAGAATCTGTATGTCATGCGACTTTGTTACCTATTCACAAATAACTTTTAATTAATTTCATCAAAAGAAAATTGGTTTTTCTTCCGATACGTGGCGTTAGAAGTTAAGTATTTGACACTGTTACTATGACTGCTCGAAAACTAAAACAAATAGAAACTTGACTCTCTTATATGGAAGTGAATGACCATCTTTAGACTAAATTATGCGAATCAATGGAGTAGGCCTCGACTTATAGGCATTTTTCTTTTCGAGACACAACAATACAGTGACTGTGCTCTTCACGCATATATGTTTCGGTATTGATTAGAAGAATTGAATCGATATGAATAAGTTGTCGTTTGATATTAAATTTTTCAAGCTTCATTATGTCATTAAATGTTTAGATGTGTGTATGTTTTATTTTAATAAACATGTAACACTAGTTTATGTTTGTTGCTTTTTTTGATATAAGGAAGACGATGTTGTATCTGTCAGAATAGAGAAAAAGACAAAAGCTTATTTCAATACGTCAATAACCGTAACAACAAGCCATTGCTCATCTAATTCATTTATTTTTTCAAGATTTATTATTAGTAAATATTTTAAAATATTAGAAATTCTATATACAATTGTTTAATAAACTCAAGTTACGATCTATTTTCAAACATGAATAAATTAGTGAGTAGACAAAATAGGCACTGATCATTCTATTACTGTTATAGACTTGTTCTTTACTATGAAGATGGTATTTCAAATAGTTAATTTATCTTGGATTTAAAATTCCTTAGATTGTTTTTGGAATTTATAGAAATAGTATTTTTATATTAAAGAAAAACATTCGATTCAAAAATGGGCGAAGAAACGATTCACTACTTAGATAAAAAAAATTTTAATTATCAGCTGAATTTTGTTTAATTATTTGTAGACTAAGCCATGATTGTAGTAATTATTTTTCATTGAACATAGTTCTACAATTTGAAGTTAATTAAATAAGTTATTCATTCTGGTATAATAATTTACAAATTTCCCCCTGGCGTTTTAAATGACTATAAAATTAAACATTTCAAGCAATGAATAATACTCATTAATATGAAATATATATGCTAAATATATATATTATATCGTTTGATATTTTACCTTGATATGATTTGATATTTGATATTTTTCCTATTTTCTGTATCCTGACAAGGTATCAAAAAATATTTCTTTTCTTAAAAATATTTTATCAACATATTCAAACTCTTATCATATTCAAATTCAAAATTATTTTCTGTTTAATCAAAATTTTTCTTTATTACAAAATAATATTAATTATACACGTTCCTAATTAATATTTCTTTTTATAGTAATATTCGTAACAATAAAATGCAGACAAAAAAAAAAAATATATATATATATACTTTTTAGTCATAATTAGACCATTTGTTTTGCTTGCCAAGGTGGAACGTTAGTATGTTTATTTTGTGCGTCATAATTGTCGACCCCTTACATACTGATACGTTCGACTTTTCGTACTCTATTTTTTTTTCTTTCATCATCTTTCATACTTTTATAGCTGATCCTATGAACTACTATATTTGATGTCTGAACAAATAAATCACCTATTTTAGTTTATTTTTTCTTTTCACATAATATTCACCTGTTTTTTCATTGTGCTTATCCAATGTCACGAAATTATATTGATTTTTGAGACTCTCAAGGGCACAACAAATATATGTATGAGCAACAATATTGGTCGATGTTCCAGCTGAATGATTGTATGTCTTTCTCTCTTACATACAAGTATTCAATTATGTATATGGCCTTTTTCTAACAGCACAGTTACCAATCTATAATTTTTTTTGAGAACGAATACAACACAAGAACAACATTTATTACACGTTTAATTGTGTGCATAATATAAGAAATAATATATATATAATGGCTAGTTTAGGGTTTGGTAATCCATTACTAGGAGATGTTATGGGTAATGATTCAGCAATTACCGTCGTAGTACCTTGGACACAACAATTTGGCATGGCCTATCAACAATTCATTGGTGGTAGTTTCGGTGGTCTTGGTGGTCCCGGCGGTCTTAGTGGTCTCGGCGGTCTTGGGGGTCTGGGAGGTCTTGGAGGTCTGGGAGGTCTTGGTGGTCATGGCGGCTATGGTGGATTAGGTGGCCATGGTGGTCTTGGTGGCTATGGCGGTGCTGGTGGCTATGGTGGATTAGGTGGCCAACCATTCGGATTTGGTATGACAACCTCCTATTCATCAAACTACAACTAGCTTTATGTTAATAACAACGTATGAACGTTATTTTCATTTTTTTAAATGAGAAAAACAGACTTCTTTACACCAACTGTGTAGTATTTCTTTTATTAATTTTTTTTTATTCGCATACTAGTAATAATATTATAATAAAAGATTTATCTACGCTTTAGTTTACGATTGTTGATTGAGTAGGAAATTAAATTTCGAGTATCAAATATCGATAACTATGAATTTGCGATTTAACATTTTATTTTTACAATTGATATCAAAAGAGTTTTTTCAATAATTATTAATGGTCAATGTGAAAGATCTTGCATATAAATTTTTGATTATGTAAAAACAAAAATTTCTCGTGATTACATTTCCTGTCGCTGATTTTCTAGAACAAAATAGTCGTCACGCATACCATAAAGTATCATTAATAGATATCTATTCATCACAGAAAGATTTTTTTCTTGCTTGTAATATTGAGAAACATGACTGAATTAAATAATATTTAATGATATAATACTGATCATTAAAAAAAACAGAAGCATGTCACTATTCTATACGTTGTTTTTTATTGCTACACATGAACATATTTATTATTGATTGACATCATTTTGCGTTTTGTATATCAAGGTTATCGTCCTTGAATGATTTTATCAGGAATAAAAATGTGAATAATATTCAGATTTCTTTCGATTAATGTATTTTTTTACATTATAATATAATATTCAAATGATATTCATAAGAATTTGTTTTATTTTAAATTTTTATTATAGGACAAAAAAAAAAGAAACAGGCATTGGAAAAATGATAAATTCAATCGAAATGATGAAGAAAATGGTTACTAGATGAAAATTTTTTAACAATGATAATTCAATTATTAAATATGATGAGAATAATAAAATCCAAGCGATATTTGAATTCAATAGGATATGTGTAAAAATAAAAATTTTGAGTGAAAAAATATTAATATTAGCTTTTTAAATGAACATTGATAATTTGAACAATATTATATCAAGGTCAATCTCGACGAGATGGCCGAGCGGTTAAGGCGTTAGACTGCTAATCTAATGGGCTCTGCCTGCGTGAGTTCGAATCTCACTCTCGTCGCCATTCTTTTTTTTTTTTAGTGATGTTGTTGCTTCAATGGTGCACACCGTATGTTATAAGTAATCATTCAAGTCTTTTTCTTTCTTATTCTATCGACATCATTGTTTGTTTTGTTCATGAATATTTGTGGAAAAAGTTTTTAAGCAAGTTTACCTATGAGATGTTTTTGAAGTTTTTTTTTTTACATTTTAAGAAGAGAAAAAGGATGAAAAGTTTAAATATCTCAAAAAATGATGCTCTAATCTGAAAACTACTCTTTTCTTATACGAGTACCAAAGCTTAATTAAAAAAAAAAGAACTCTGTCATGCTCTTTCAAACAAAAAAAAACATTAAATTTGTAGAATAAAGTTTTTTCGAGGATTTTGAGACGCACGATGAAAAATACATCAACAGGGATAAAGCAGAAAATGACACAAATTTTTGGAAAAAACGAAGTGCCAAATAAAAAAAACCACGTCATTTATGAAAGATACGATCTAGGTCTATCGTGTCATGCGTATATCTCAACATTGACTTTTTTGATGGGGCTTTAAAAGATAAATCGTCTGACTCGAATAAATTCGAGTTCTCTTGAAAGAAAAATTTTTCATTGTAATTTATTTCTGTATCTGTGTATGTATGATTTTAAGTTCTTCAAGTATTTTACTTATAAATATGAGGTAAAACAAAGTTTCGTTTTCATAATCTTATTTTTGTCTATTCTTTTTTAATGTATTATTTGAGAACATTTCATATGAAATAATGATTGTATATCTTTCGATAATCTAAATATATATTTTTGTGATAACAAGCCAAGATAAGAAATTTTGAATAATTCAAGACACAACATAAACAAATTAAAACTTTGAAATCTATTTTAATTTTTATATTCAAAAAGTTAGAACACAGCGATGGCGGATAATAGGTGAAAAGTATATTTTTGTTTTCTATTGTAAATGTCATATTATACGTCATGCTGATTTAATAATAATCTATATTAACGATAAAAACTAAATATAAACTTGTCATTTGTATTCTTGTCATATCGTATCTATTAATCATTTTAATAAACAAAGATCATAGCTTTATAACTAACACAAGATGCTATTTTAGTCATGTTATTAGCATATTTATCGTATTAACAGTATAGATATGTGTTCGAGAAACTAGAATTTATTTTCATATGGAATATTTTATTAAACTATTGAATTACTTTTTGCCACAGCAATCAATGATAATGAATAAAAAACATTTTTGAAATAATTGATTTTTCCATTCAAATTTCCATTTAATTTCTAGTGATGTAAGTATTTAAAAGTATCTATTCGAATAACAACTATTCCGAAATAAATTTAAGAAGGAATTTTTTTTGTTACGCCTTGTTTTTCTTTATAATAAATAAAATGTAAAGATTTAATTGAATATCTGTTAGGTTCATCATTTGTTTGATATACTTGGTGATTTCGCTAGCATATACCTCCAATTATATCCTACTGTTTTTTTTATTACTCTGCTTTTTTTTGAAAAACAATGTGATAATATTAGAACAATATATCTAATGTTCTTATTTTATTTAACTAATCTTTTTTCACTCAACGTATAATCATAGCACAAACTATGATACAACCATTCAATTTAATAATTACAAATAATAAGAAATCAAAAGATATTAATTATAAATTATCATTAATGTTTTCAAATAAGATTATTTATGAGATGATATTAATCCGATTTTTATAATTACAATATTTTATATCTCAAATTCTTTTATGTTAATTGAGACATCATCATTTGAAAATTCAAATATGACATTACAATTATATAATAATAGTTCAGTTATGATCAATAACTAACAAATAAGTTGAAATATTTCATTATATAAAATATTGTAGAACAAATCAAAATGATGATGATATAGCTTCATTTAAGCGATGAGTTCGACAAGTATTTCTTTTTGTTGTTGTTAATGTTATAGAAAAAGAATTTAATATATTTTTTTATATCAACAATTGAGACACAATCAAAATCAAGTAACAACTCTAGGAAAACCTAATTTTCAAACACGTTCATCTATCGATCTATTTTTAATATCACATCCACCACAATCTGTGTCATCATGTTATTGTCAAATGAAAAAGATAAGTTGTGTAGTTCCTTTATCATCATTAATTAATAAATAGAAGGGGACTACAGACTCGTGTAGATGGACATTAAGTTCAATCTTTATCAATACTATAATCCTTTGATCTCAAATTTAGGTTAAAATTTTAATTTTTTGTTTTCGATTTTAATATTTTTTCTTCTTTTGTATTTTGTTTGATTGAATAAAAACTACTTATTATATATTATACCTATGATGATAAAGAGGTTAAGATTCGCTAGAATTAGCTATTAACAAATAGAAGAGATAACTCATTTTATGTATATATGACACTTGTCTTATCTCGTGTTTTTTTATATCATTGTCATGTTTCTCTTATTTGAATAGTTACTTATACATAGTAGTTATCATTTGTCAATAGAGATATAATTCATTGTTCTTGTTCGGATAGCTATAAAAGAAATAATTATTGATTTACAAACTGAATGTTCACTAAAAATGATGCTGAGCATGGTGATAGTCAGAAAAAGAAGTATACTTAGAAGTTGACAAAAACGAAGATGTTAATATCAATATAGAAGCAGACGTTAATAGTGAATAACTTTAATTAAACATAAATCTCAGGAACAGCATTTCTGAATTTATAAGGAAACTATTTCAACTGATATATTACTTTTGAGTCGAGATTATGTGCATTATATAGACCTAAATGAGCAATAAATACTTTGAACAGCTTTCGTGTTCTTAGATTAGGACTGTGGAGATATTGGACTTGTACAATATTTTTTAAATGAATGTAGAAACACTAGAGAAACTGATTTTCAAATTTCGACTTAAAACATTGCATACAGACAAGCCTTAATGAGAATAGTTTATTATGGAAATTTCAAATCTTTTGATTTGCTTCTATCGTGAAATAAGAACATAAAATCTGCCAGTTGATATGAACGATGCAAAAGATACGCTATTATCGTAGCTGTATTTGAGGATGGAAACAGTGATAAGATCTGAAACATTCACAATAACCTATTCTTGTTAAGATCTACTTCTATGTAAAGTTTTAAATCAAAATTTGAAAATCGGTTTTCCTGAAGAAGACTATAGCATTCATTTAAAAAATACAGTAAAAGTGCAATATCTCTGTAGCAATAAGCTAAGAGCACGAACTCTTTCTAGAATATTCATAGCTCATTTGGGTCTACGTAATGCATATAGATTCAACTCTTAAAGCAATTTTCCAATTGAAAGAGGCTCCTTGTGAGTTATTAGAGTACTTGATAGACATTAAAGATGTTATTTTTCTGTATAAATCCGTTGACATCCATGTGGAACATATAAATTTGAAAAAGTCTATATCACACTCTTTTGCACAAGTTCAGTTCAATGATCTGTTTGTAATATTATACTATTATAGTGTTCTCTAGAAAATATCTAAGTATGGTGATAAAATAATAAAAATTCGTTTCAGAAAAAGTGGTTACACAAACCATCCCTCGATCTGAATTTGAGATCAAACGGCTACAGATAAGACGCACGCGGAAACAATGGAAATGGATTTCATTTCAGAGAATATTTTTCGTCATGGCAATTCTTTTGTTCACTTCAATTTATTAACAGACATCCCGTGACTTTTTATTTGTATATGCCAAACGCTGCAATGTTGTATTATTTTTCATCGATGACTAACATAAATGGATCGAAATTATTTTTTATATTGTTAGAATGAGACAAATAGAATCACTCGTTTCAAACAGTTTGAGATTCGAAAAAAATGCATGCATTTTATGTGAGTTTCATAAGATGTAATTTTTACATGAAGACTAAGATCAATAGTTT